ATGACAATGAATAGACACCACTTACTGCTGTCTTGCAGTGTGAAGCAGCCCACTGAATGCTCTCAAGATTATTGTAATTATTCAGAGTCCAGTCCTCAGTGCAAGAACATTTCAAAAGCTTGAGGATACAATTTGCTTGCTCCTTGTTGAGAGCAGCATCATGGATAAATTCTGAGAGGTCAAAGTTGAGACAGGTTCAGAACAGGTACCATGGAGCAGTGCATGGATCCAGTTTGTATGTCTTGGGTGCATGACCTCAGGTGAACTCAGTGAATGGCACTTTCACAGTTGGCTTTCCAGCATTTGGGTGGTATTCAACTTGGATATCATCAATGATGTTGATATCAACCTTGGGTTCAGCAACTGCATAACATATTGGCATGGAAAATATGTGATCACATATCAACATGCACCATTCAGTTCATCATTTGCACCCACATCAGCACCAGCAGGCAGCTCAAGATCCATAACCATGGGCCAGAATGTAGCAGGCTCTGCTAACAATTGTGAGAGTCCAATTTGGAGAGTAGCAGGAAACTTACCTGGTGCTGGCTCTGTGTGTGTCTCAACAGTGGGCCCTGTCACTGATCTACCAGTAAGAATGCCTGTTCAAATCAATCCAGTGGTAAATCAGAAATAAAATTGACTGGTAAAATTCCTATGTACCTTCTCGATGAAGCAAGTCAAAGTGAGCATGATCTTCATTTGTTTTGCAAGCCCACCTGATGCATGATTTGTGATGAGGTCCTTTTCCAGTCAGCTTGAATGTTTTCCCACACAATTTGCAGGTAGTAGTGTGCTTTTCCAGAGGCATACTACTGGTCGACAAAGGGAATGTATCCTGTGAGAGTAAAGACAGTAAATACAATAAAGAAAAATGAGTGGACAGTGAAGTGCAAGACACAGACAGTAGCAGGTCACTGTTGCAAAGGGCATTGCAATGGCATTGCCAGCATATTGCAACTCCAGCACTCTCACATGCAATCTATCATGAACTGATTATCACCATGTGTAAAAATCTGACATCATTGCAATGGACCTGAATAATTTTCCGACATTGTACATGTCGCAGTTACACGCACAGTGTCGACTGGTCCCTTGCCTTATGCCTAATATGCATGAAGGGCGGACTAGGTAGTGTGCACACTTGCGTACTTCAGCTAGCTACTTTGATCACAACGGGTCCTGGGCCCATCGCCGTGCTCGACAGACCGCCGAGAATGCACTGTACCTAAATAGGCTGTTCGTTTGAGCAAAAGCAGCAGGAATGAAATAGCACGGATTTCCTTTCTCAGACGATCACAGCGGTCACTTGACTGATCAGCTCAACTTTCGAAAACTTCATGGCATATTGATACAGGCGCAATCTATACGTAAGAGGATCAAACGGCCGCCGCATCTTGAGTTTCAACGAGTTTATCGGCCTCCCCATGTAAGGCGGCACCTAAACTGTGTTGTCCGGGAGCTCTCTCGGACTTGAGAACCGATCCCCTTGTGTGACCAAGGTGTTTTTCCCTGATGTGACGGACAAAGCTGTGTCGTCGCAGACGTTTATCCACGCAGCCAACCCACCGGCAGTCCACCCACTGACTACGGGACATGGCCCTAACTCCATGATAAGTCGCAAAGTGCTCTGAAACGGTGGCACAGGTGATCTCCAGCATACAGAGTCCCTTATCAGGGTCTTGGTATTGGCATAGTTGTTTTGCACGATTGGCACGCTCATTAATATGAGACTACACGGAGACATGGCGTGAAAGACAGACCACAATTGTAAATAAAGCGCATGTTGCTTACTTCGTTCGAGGGCTCTGCATCATCAGCCGCCGCATGAAAGGAAGTGTGTTGTCGGCGACTTTTCCCGGAGCTAAGGGCAGCTAATCCCCCCCTTGTGTGCCCAAGGTGTTTTTCCCGAACATGACGGACAAAATTGTGTCGCGCAACACTTTGGAAACAGCCCTCCCACTGACAGGTAACCGCCACCTGCACGGTAGATAGCCTTTATTCCATGACTCTCAAAATGCTCCGGAACGGTGGAACAACTAATAGGTTGCAAACACTGCGTCCCACTCGGACCCGGATAGAGACACAGTGTTCGCGGGCAATTGGGATGCTCGTCGAAACGCGGCTACACAAACAAGTCGTGAGAAACAGGCTTATGATCGCAAGGCAGACGTTGCGTACTTTGTTTTTGGGACCTGCATTAGGAATTACCGGGTTACCCACCTTTATTGTGTTTGAGCAATCATGATGTGTGTGAACCTACGCTTGACGCACTTCAGCTCGTTCAGTGACCAAAGCCATGATGTAACTACCAGGCGTAGGTCGGGATAACGTGTGATCTGACGATTAGCCAAGTGCCGACCAGGGAAGTCAGCCAAGACACGGTGCCGCGATGATAGGATAGGACGGCCCTCCAAGGTTTATATAAGCACATGAAGGCAAGGAGAAGTATTTACGAATGTTTGTGCCCGAACTACTTGGTAAGTAGCGTATTGCAGTCTACTAATCCGATCCCCTATTTTCCACGCAGCTGCGATACATGCGGCTACAGCGAGGCCAAGTTATTTATTGACAAGTAATCACTCAGATTTTTCAAATATGACCATATTGAGGTTGAGATCCTGCCGTGGCGATCAATAACACGTGGTCAAGGGTCTCACATCGCCCAGAATTTCTACGGCTTTCCAAATGCTCACTGGGTGAAACGTGTTAGTCAAAAACATGGGAGCCCAACGATGATCTGGCGTGGTAACGGCGGTGTCAGCTGAACTGACTTGAGCTTGAATTCAAAGTCAGAACTGCAGTCGTTCAGTCATTGAACGTTCATGGAAGCCCTTCAGTTCAAGGAACATTCTTCCGATCATAATGTGGCCCATCATCCGGCCCTTAACCACGTTTGTGGAGGGCCTCCAATGCGAACTTACTATAACAATTTCGCCCTCCGACCTCCAGCTGGTGGAGGGCCCGTTTTGGTGGCGGGCGCCCCGGGACAATGGTACAGGTGAGTTGCGTTCCCCAAAAACGAGCGTAGGTTTATCTCCTCCCCTTCTTAGGTATATTGCGTGAAAGGCCTAACTTCCGAGTAGTCTGGTCAGTCACTAGGCCCGGTAGACAACCTGCCTTGGACGTTCGAATTGTACGTAACGGTTCCTTGGATCCATTCAGTGGTGACCGCTGACTAGCAGGACGGTAGGGTCTGTGATCGAGGCGCGATTTCTGGCCCGTACTTGAGAATTCGTGTCGTGTAGATGAATGATTACAGATTAACCCGTCATTTGTGCATTAGTGTGAGTGACCAGCATTATCGCCTTCCTCCGCTGACTCTCTGATATCCAGGTAGGGAAATATTCTGGTCCCCTGATTTCCTGCATCCCCTCCAGCGCTAACCTCCCCCAACTGCTCGCCAGTGGCAACCAGGATCACAGACGAGTAGAGGTCACTTGACTCGCAAATCTCGCTAAAGCATTCGATATCGGGCGGCACGGCTTGTCCACCATCTATGTTTTGGAAATAAAGTATGCCAGTAAGAGCATTGCGTCTGTGATAGCTTAAATCCCAAGTTGCAGTTCATTAAGTTGTCACCGTCATCCTCACCTCGATTTTCGCAACGACTTGCTCACTAGATTGAGAATGTCACGCACAACCACCTCTCGGCCGTTCACGAGGGATCCGAGATCGGGAGTGTCAAGAAGGATAACACTGTTGCCCCGCACATCGACCTTGGTGGTCGTGACCCTCATCCGGCTATTTGCAGCCTGGCGTAACCGACCTGCCCGCGGAGCATGCGTACTGAACTGTGCAATAGCTAGAACCGTCGACTTCGCTGGAGCACTATCGAGTCTCACCGAGATTTTCCCAGAGTTTGGGGTTCCGATCAACCTGGAAGCATAGTTGTGTTGTCATCCTCTACTAAGCGTGAATTCTGTTCTACCCACACAACGATCATTTCGTCTTCTACATGTACTGCGGAGTCTGTCAGATGAGGTACTATTCGAAGAACGAAGGAATTACCATTCCTACTACATGTTATGCCCTAAAAATAGGTCAATAACGAGCGGCGAAAACTTCACAGTCTACAGGCTGACCATCGCTGCAACCTCGGCGGTGTGGGAGGCGGATAGTATGTAGCAGCAGTAGCAGCTTATATATTTCTCGCGCTGTCAACTTATGTATAATTTATATGGCCTCGTGTTGGCCATGCAGCCAGGAACGCTGTTTGTCACAGGCGTTCTGCAGGAAGGATCCGTTTGGTCGAAAACAAGCAAATTCGCCGAGTCTGTATTTCTTATCATATCGTCCCCCATGACAAGCGGAAGTGAGGATTCCTTCACCATACTGGTCGCTTCACCGTTGAGCCTCAGCTCAGCCGTGTCCTGGCACCTCAAGAATCGAACACGCCTTTTGCCTTGCCGCTGGAACATCTGCATCAAGGCTGAGCTTCACGGCCTCATGCCCAGCACGTGCAGCTTAATTAAGACCCAGGAGGGTCAGGATGTCGCCCATCGTTCTTTTCCTCCCTGGACCACTGTGGCCGCGAAATACCTAGGCAGTGAGTTGTGATGACCTATAACTGCCGATCCAACCTTGAATGTTCCACTCACCTAGTAGAAAGATGCGGCTCTTAGATGTAAAAGCTGTTCTTGACATGGAAAAGGGCATCCAAGGAGTTGGACCCCACACTCAAGTCTTCAGGGAACTTGATGACAAGTCTGAAAAATATGCGATACTGTCACATCGTTGGGGAGAGGAGCTCAACTATGATGAAATGACTAGGTTCATGGAGATGGGCGAGCACTACAAGAACGAAGTCAGGCAGCGTGCTGGCTACGAGAAGATCATCAAAAGTTGCAAACTGGCCCTGCAAGACGGCTACAGGTGGATTTGGATCGATACGTGTTGCATCGACAAACGCAGCAGTTCTGAACTGTCAGAAGCCATCAATTCCATGTATCGGTGGTACCGTAAATCGCAGAAATGCTATGTGTACCTCAACGATGTCGGCGGACGCCTTCTTTCCCAACGAACGAGACTTGAGCAAGTTTGCCAAAGCCAACGGTTGGCCAGAGTGGTTCTCACGGGGTTGGACTCTACAAGAACTCATCGCTCCGAAACAAGTCGAATTCTTCAACAAGGACTGGGTTTTCATTGGTTCCAAGCAGAACCTCGCAGACACGTTGGAGAGAAATTACCCGAATTCCTATCGATGTTTTGAAGGACGGCCGGATTCCAAGGCGTGTCTGCGTTGCTGGAATCATGTCTTGGGCAGCGGATCGGAACACGATGCGAGTAGGAAGACCGGGCATATTCCCTGCTGGGACTGTTTGGCGTGAATATGCCGATATTGTACGGGGAGGGCGCAAAAGCATTCCATCGCTTGCAGTTGGAAATCATCCGGGCATCCGGCGACCAAAGTATATTCGCATGGAATCCCAAGGGACAGTTTGGCTGGGTTGGCAGTGTCCTCGCAGGTGACCCAGGTTATTTTCGTGGTTGCCACGACATTGAAAAGGTGGAATCCGACAAGCTTGTCGACGAACTGATGAAATATACTCGTCGAAACCGATTTGGCATTGCCAGGATGCCTGACTTCGGCAGCAACCTCGCAGTGTCTGAGGTCACGCGGTCGTGCCTTTCGCCAGCAGCTTTCCGTATTCCTTGTCACCAATGTTGGCATTCAAGTTCGCTTACCCGTCATACCCCATCGCGACTCTGAGTCGGTTTTCAGAGCGATATTGGCCTGTCGAGACTACTATGGAAACTTGATCACCATCGACTTGAAATCCCTCGAGCTTAGCTCCTACAGGATTGCCGCTGCTAGACGCTTTCGGCACTCGCGTTCAGAGCTCAGGACTCTCTATCTCGCTTCCTCGGTTCCAGATTTCGAGGAGTATCATCATTTCAAAGTCGACGATACGCACGCCTTATACCACGGTTTCACCCGTCACGGCGTCTTCCCGGACGACTTCACAGGCGATACTTTCACATTCTCATCCCTCACAAGTGATTTCGTTGTCATAGTCTATGCCAACGACGATACCAGTTCTCGCTTTGCAGTTGGACTTGGACACTACCTCGGTAGACCGCTGGTGTATGTTGCCTGTGAAAAGCCCGCGAATGGTGAGGTCCCGTGGACAGACTTCTGCAAGAAAGTGTATGATACGCTCTGGGTTGCCCCTGTTGAACAGCGCTCTGACAGCGGAGTCAAGTGCGCTCACCTTCCGCAATCAATTTGGGATGCTCGGGTCGTCTGGTACACTGGGAACGTGCGCACCAACGTGATGGTTGACGTCGGGCAATGCCCCGGTTGTTGTATTGGACCACGCGAATGCACGACTGCGTCTGTTAGTAGTCTTATCTATTTTTGCATGCAGACCTGACTGTTCACAATTTTAGGATGATCGAGATGGTCTCGACATGCCGGGGTTCATGAAGACAGTTCACAATGTTCGCGGGTTGAAGCTAGATGGGAAGAACGTTTGGCTTTACGAGTGTTCTGATCAAATGATTGCGGTAAGTCGTAATACACGTGCTCACGCTTGCACCGAGCCTAATATAAACAGCTGGGTGACTATGGCGACTATTCCAATGGCAATTTCAAACCTGACGGCAACATATTCGAGAATATGCGCACACTTGGTATCGATCCTGCGGATCCAGCTTACCGCTCAGTAGTCTCCTACGTATCCGGTGGTGCGAACGTATCGGATCGCGAGCAGGGTCAGCATGGTTCTGCAGTCGAGTTTCGCCTTCAGGGGGAATACCTGACACTTCATTCACCGAACGGTCTCTCCCTTCCGAACAATCAACAGCTCGTATTGCTGCTGAAAGCTTTGTCCACGCGTCTTGCAGGCAGACATCTGGTGACAACAATCATACAATGTTCGGATCTTCACACAGGCAATGGAGAGAAGAGAACGGGGAAGATTCGGAAGGCGGTGAGTACTCCTTAAGGAAGTAATTTTGCTTTTGTTTCGATCTTGGGCATCAGATTCGGCGTCCAAGAGTGACGATCGCCCCATAGAGCCCTAGTCTTGTGGTCCCATTGTGTACCGTTGCGAGCCCACACGTCTGGCGAAGAGAACCACCCTGTGCACAGAGAAGGGAACTGTTCAAAAGTATCCGGCGGGTCCGTTGGTGATTATGTCATGTGGGTCGCTGATTTTATGTTTCGGAATATAGGAAACACTTTTACATCTTAGCGAACCTGGTATCCATTCCAATCAACCATGTTCCGAGTGCTGGTTTTGTCTGATTCACTACATGATTAGCATCGTCCTCCAGGAGCTGAAGCTGGTCGTGAATCCGCGGTGAGTTGGATAACTGCTAGGGCCCATGAACCCACGAGGACGCATTTATGATGACAACAGAGCAGATGGATAACTCGCGGTGCAGTCAAATTCCTCTCAGATATATTTGGTTTGGAGCACCTAAAAAATTGTGTATTTATTGATTCTCTCAGTACTTCAGCCCGTTCTCACTCTCAGACTGTAGGTCGGCGAGATAACATTCTTCAAAGAACTCCGCTCAGTGACGGAAACACGGTCACGGTATAGCAGCACATTCATTCGGAATACTAACATTGCATCTTCAAGAAGTCTGTCGGCACGCCCAGCGACATCATTGTGGACTTCTTTCAAATCCAGGGCAGCGCAGAACCCACGCGTTGAAATTGTAGCACCTCCCTTACTCGAGAAATGCAAAGCTTTTGGTCCGCTGGTTAACTTTCGTCGATATCTCGTTGCGAAGCAACAGGCGCGGTGTCAAGTAAAGTCCATGTCACAAACATTGGGCGTCGGGGTGAGTATTACAGTAAACCAAAGGTAGTCTAGGCTAATTCTAGTCACCAAAAGTTACTCGAGCACATCTATACTGCCATCCTTTATGCGTTGGAGGATGAGACATGAGCATTTTTTTGTACCTCGACTTGTCTCTTTTCTACGGTATTTCTGTCCTGATTTCAGACATGGCATCGGCGATGCTGGTTGTGCGAGGTAAGGCGAACGCCTTGTAATGTTTAGTAGGCCTCTTAAACGTCTTCCGCAGGCGGGTAGACATCCATATCACGCTACTAGAGATAAAGGCGCTCCAAACGAAACTCGATGCAACGGATGACGAAGATGAACAGCGGGCACTGGAGGAGGACGTGACAGGAATGGTAAGGACATCATCTTTCAGTTATAACATCTCGATGCTGATTGTTCGTTTGTTAATAGATCTTATGGTTTTCTTGGTGTGGGATCCTTTCAGAAGTAGAACAACTATTAGCAGAGGCAAGTCAACTCTCTGAATCCTGTGAATATTATTTGAGACGACTTAGGTTGTGAATTACATTCGGAGGGAAAGAGATTCGAAGACACCGGATGGTGGTGACCGTTTCCGCCAAGGATTGCGTGAAATCGCGGATATCATTAAAAAAACAACACAGTATGATGACCATGATGATGATCTAGGTCACTTGAAGCGGTAAGCAGTGTCATTCGGCACGTAGTATCGATATAAATTGCCGGACATGAACACCTATCTCCCCAGGATCATGTTTGATGCAAGTACAGGTGTGTCAAAACAGAGGTTATGGCTTGCTGCACGAGCTGCAGAGAAAGCCAAGTGGTCGAGTATTCCCACCGCTCTGCGCACCTGTGACCAGTCCAAACAACCTGAGATGACATGCTCTGACTAAGTCCAACTCGTGAACGAGGATAGGAACTGTAGGCAAAAGGTATTAGCCCGTTCTTCAGAGTAACGAGTCTCTACAATTGATGACTGCAGTAATAGTAGACAAATTTTCCTCGTAGTTAGTGTTATGTTGAATCGGCTGCCGTACCCAAGAACCATTTGAAAATAATTAACGTGTTGACATAGTATCAGCAGTATCGTTTGTCCAACCATCATCCTCATTTCCGATCTTCCCTGATATCGACTCTCGTGTGCGGCCGCCAGCAGCTCTTCTCTCCGTCTGGACATTCCTTCAATTTGAATCGTCTCGTTGGCAGGCGTTGTAGTAATGGCATTCTGAGTATAGAACACATTCCGTCGGGAGCGGAGTGTAGGGCACGCAAGTCCCACCTCGGTTCTCATCCATCAGGTGTCCTTATACAATTTTGCTGTGTTCAACCAAGTGGGTGCGGCACGCAACATCCGCACTGCAGGAGCGAGGATGCCGGACGTCATCGTGATCGGGAGTGATGAAGCAATGGTTTTGGCTGAACCTGAGAGCTAAAAGGGTGCATAAGTGAGGAAGGTTTGGGACATGAGTGTGAAGTGAGATTCTCTAGAAGTGCTGCTCACTACAGAAAACCATAGATGGGCAAGCGTCACTTAATCACAGGGCATGGTGGTCTGGCTTTCCGTAGCATATGGACCATAATTTGTATCATGCCGCACCACTCAGCAAGAAAAGGGTGTCAGAGTCAACGTCTGTACAAGCCTCTGATATTCATTCAGAGCATGAACACAAATGCTCAGTTCTCTGGCCCTTCTCTTGTCATGTTGGTACGCGATGGCAGGGTGACTTGAGAAAAATAGTCACACAGTCGCATCAGGAGAGCAAATCTAGGACTTCGTTGCCTCATGGTGAGCATATGTAGACCAACTGAACCTAGTTCGCCATTAATACTTTCCAAAAGTCCCTGTCAAGCGCTCACGGACGTGATGCTTCTTTGCGTTGGTTGAGGATTGGGCCTCATGCTCGACATCTGGGCCTTTTATTAAGACCTACAACCCGCAACGAGGGTCAAGTTGTCTCAAACCCCTCGCTTGCTCTTTTCCGGACACATTAAGCACACCACCCTGTTACTTCGGGCGCAATCAGTACGTGCGATGACCTGTAGTTGTCGATCCAGCCTTGCCACTCACTCGTTACTGTAAAAAGATGCGGCTACTGGACGTGAAAGGTGTTCTCGACAGAGAAAAAGTCATCCAAGAAACTGGAGCCCAAATTAAAATCTTTGAGAATCTTCATGACAGGTCTGAAAAATATGCGGTACCGTCACATCGCTGGGGAAAGGATGAAGACGAGGTCAATTATGATGAAATGACTCAGCTCATGGGGATGGCTGAGCCTGCCAGGAACGAGATCAGGCGGCGCGCTGGCTACGAAAAGATCATCAAGAGTTGCGAACAGGCCAAGAAGGACGGCTACAGGTGGATTTGGATCGATACGTGTTGCATCGACAAGCGGAGCGGTGCTGAATTGTCAGAGGCCATCAATTCCATGTATCAGTGGTACCAAGAATCACAGAAATGTTATGCGCATCTCAACGGTGTCTGCGGCACCTTCTTTCCCAGGGAACAAGACTTGAGCAAGTTTGCCAAAGCCAACGGTTGGCCAGAGTGGTTCTCGAGGGGCTGGACTCTCCAAGAACTCATCGCTCCGAAACAAGTTGAATTCTTCAACAAAGACTGGGTTCCCATTGGTGACAAGGGTAGCCTTGCAGAGACATTGGAGAAAATTACACGAATCCCTATCAACGTTTTGAGGGATGGAGTGAATCCGAGGCATTTCTGCGTTGCGCAGCTCATGTCTTGGGCAGCAGATCGGAAGACGACGCGCGTGGAGGACCGGGCGTATTCCCTGTTGGGACTGTTTGGCGTGGACATGCCGAAGTTCTACGGGGAGGGCAAAAAAGCATTCCAGAGGCTGCAACTGGAGATCATACAACGATATTACTGTGATCACAGCATATTCGCATGGAATTCGAAAAGACAATTTGGCTGGCTTGGCGATGTCTTGGCCGACGACCCAAGCTACTTTCGGGGTTGTCATGACGTCGAAAAGGTAGAACTTAATCAGTTCGTCGACGAAATAATGAATTACCCCCAGAACCGACTCGGCATCGCCAGGAGCCCAGGCAGGGGCAGCCTCGTATGTCTGAGGTCTCGAGGGCATACCTTTCGCCAACAGCTTGCCGTATTTCCTCTCACCAATGTCGGCATTCAAATTTGCTTGCCCGTCATACCCCATCGTGACTCCGAGTCTGTCTTCAGAGCCATATTGGCCTGCAGAGACTACTATGGAAACCTGATCACCATCGATTTCAAATCTCTTTGACTTGGCTTTTACAGGATTCCTGCTGCTACGCGCTTCCGACGCTCGCGCCCGGAGCTTAGGACACTCTATCTTAATCACCGTCCCACTCATCATCCAAACCATCATCGAGTCGCTGTGGAGAAGTGCCACCACGTTAGACTTGACGATAGACACGCTTCGTGCCATGGTTTCACCCGTCGTGGAACCTTCCCACACGAGTTCACTGGCGATACTTTCACATTTGCATCCCTCACAAATGATCTCGTTGTCATAGTCTATGCCAACGACGATGCCAGTTCTCGCTTTGCAGTTGGACTTGGACACTACCTCGGTAGACCGCTGGTGTATGTTGCCTGTGAAAAGCCCGCAAATGGTGAGGTCCCGTGGACAGACTTCTGCAAGAAAGTGTATGATACGCTCTGGGTTGCCCCTGTTGAACAGTGCTCTGACAGCGGAGTCAAGTGCGCTCACCTCCCGCAATCAATTTGGGATGTTCGGGTCGTCTGGTACACTGGGAGCGTGCTCACCAACGTAATGGTTGACGTCGGGCAATGCCCCGGTTGTTGTATTGGGCCACGCGAATGCACGACTGCGTCTGTTAGTGGTCTCTTATCTATTTTTGCATGCAGATCTAACTGTTCATACAACTATAGGATGATCGAGATGGTCTCGACATGCCGGGGTTCATGAAGACAGTTCGCAATATTCGTGGGTTGAAGCTAGATGGGAAGAACGTTTGGCTTTACGAGTGTTCTGATCAAATGATTGCGGTGAGTCGTAATACACGTGTTCACACTTGCAATGAGCTGAATATAAACAGCTCGGCGACTATGGCGACTATTCCAATGGCAATTTCAAACCTGACGGCAACATATTCGAGAATATGCGTACACTCGGCATCGACCCCGGGGATCCAACTTATCGCCCAGTGGTTTCCCGCTTATCCGGGGATGCGGACGTATTGGCTCGTGAGCGGGATCGACATGGTTTTGCAGTGGACTCTTACCTTCAGGGTGAACATGAAGGCCGCTCACTTCCCAACAATCAAGGACTCGTGCTACTGCTGAAAGCCTTGTCCACGCATCTTTCCGGAAAACATCTGGTGACAACAATCATACAATGTTCGGTTCTCAACAGAGTCGATGGCTTGGGAGGGCGGAGGGAATCGCGAGGTGGTGAGCATTGCCCAAAGATGATATCTTACATTCTCTTTGATCTTGGCATCAGATTCGGCATCTAGAACCGGTGGTCACTCTACTGTCTTTGTCCCTTTATGCACCATTGCAAGCCCACGAGCTTGGCGACGAGAACCGGCTTGCACACGGAGAAGAAAACAATTCAGATTTACCCGGTAAGTCCTTTGGAGTTTGTGTCCCACTGGGTCGCTGATGCTATGCTTCAAGGGAGCACTTTTACACTTTGGCAAATCTGGTATCTGTTCTCATTAGCCATGCTGCGGGTACTGGATTTGTCTGATTCATCCCGTGATCCGCAGCATCGACCTTCAGGAGCCGACTTTGGTCATGAGTCTGTGGTGGGTGGGACAACTGCACGGGATCCATAAGTACATGCTTATGATGACAACAGAGTAGTCGGATGAAACATGGAGTAGTCAAGTTCTTCTCAGATATGTTTGGCTTGGAGAGCTTGAAAAAATACGTATGTTCTTATTCTTTCAATACCTTGGCACATTCCTACTGTGAAAACCTAGGTCGGTCAGATAACATTCTTTGAAAGGCTCCCCTTGATAGTGGAAACACAACCATGCAGTAAGATTTCTGCAGGTATAATCAAGCCTATCAGGCTGTCACGTGAAGCATAATCATTCTGCATACTTACATTGGCCCTCTGTAGGGAGCTGCATGCCAAGTAGCGCCATCATCGTGGAACCCTTTCAAATCCAGGGCAGCACAGAGTGCAAGCCCTGAAATAGTCTTACTTGATAAGTGCAAAGCTCTTGATAAACTGATTGAGTCGGGTCGATATCTTGTACCAAAGCAAAGGGCACGGTGCGAGGTACAATCCATATCTCAAACTCTGAGCTTCGGGGTAAGTGTTACTATCAGTTGATCGGAACTTGAGAGTAATTCTGGTCACGGAAAGTTGCTCGGGCGCATCTACACTGCTGTCCTCGATGCGTCCAGGGTGAGACGTGAGTTCTTTTATTTCGTTTAGTTTTCTCCTCTTTCTACGATATCTGTTTCAGACATAGCATCCAGGATACCATTTATTCGAGGTAAGGCAACGCCTTCTAATGTTCAGTAGGTCCCTTGAATCCCATTCCTAGGCAGGTGGACGTCCATTCTACGCCGCAAGAGATAAATGCGCTTCAAATGACGCTCGACGCCACAGACGACGAAGACGAGCAGCTGACACTCGAGGATATAACAGGAAAGGCAAGGCTATCTTCAAACCACAATATCTCAAGAGTGATTTTTTATTTGCTAGTAGCTCCTGTGGCTTTCTTGGTGTGAAATCCTGTCAGAAGTGGAACTGCAATTACTGGAGGTAAGCCATTTATCTGGTTGCCGTGAATACGATTTGAAATGAACTAGGTTTTGAATTATATCCGGAGGAAAAGGGATTCAATGATGCTGGAAGAGCATGGCCATTTTTACCAATGTTTGAATGAGATCGGGAAGATTATTAAGAAAACACCCCATGTACATGTGGACGATGATCTAGCTCACCTGCAACGGTAGGCGA